GCTGATGTCAGAAGAAGACCAAGGGCCAGACCCTCACCAACCCCAGCCCGCAGCAGAGAGAAGGTAGGGCTGCTGGGTGGGAGCCGGCCTCTTTTCCTCGGAAGGAAGGCATCTGGGTCCTGGGTTGGCAATAGCTCATCCCATTGCCCCTCCCTCCAACCACAGGAACAGGGCTGTCTCTGCCTTGGTGGAGACCACTGTCTGCAGAGCCAGGGCTGGGCCAGGCCCACTCGGGCACTGTGAGCTCAGCCTCCTTTACCCTCCATACTGCAGATCACCAGGCACCCACAGAGCCCACCCAACAGGTCCCTCTGGGGCCTCTACAACTGTGCCTGTGTGGAGAAGACCCCATAAATGGCTGGGTGTGGGGGACCTGGGACACTCAGCAACTACTGGAGACCATCTTCTTGTCCCTCCTTGTCCTCCTCCACAGCCCGAATTTCGAGTGGGAGAGTTTTTCCTTCAGTTCAGAGCTCATAGGGAAGTTCCCATGAAACTTGACTCCCAAGGATTGGCAGGAATTGCTAACGGTGGCTTGAGGATGTCCCACCCACTGCTGTGTAACTGGGCCCACAACAATTCCCTCTCTGAGTCTTGGATCTGTCTGTGAGTCAGAGCTGTCCCCAGGGGCTGGGGGACAATGCATGAAAGACAGAGAGAGACCCCTGGAGGTGGAATATGTTGAGGGTAAGCAGCCAGGGACAAGCCCAACCTGCATCCCCACATACAAGCTCCTGGGTCCCAGGGAGTAGGGGTGCTCTGGGGTCACAGAGGACAAGTCTATAGGAACAGCTTCCCCGCTGACACCCACCTGCATGCACAGTCATATATACACTACTCCCAGCTACACATGTGTGCACACATGTATGCGCACATGCAGTGCTCACATGCACGCACATGTGTGATCACATGCGCACACACGTGTGTATAGCCTCATGTACACACATACTTGGTGAGTATAGCACGCAGTCTTGTTACTGTTTAAGCTCAGGGTTGCTCCACCATTTCCGGTTTTGTCCTCCTGACCGAGAACTCTTGTCGTCACAGTGGACTGAGTCCTTCCTGCCAGTCTTTCTCTGGGAGGACCCCGAATCCCTCATGAGTGGGTTGCATGATCCATGAGCTATCCATGCAAATCTAAAATGTCTGCAGGCCGCAGGGCACCAGAGGAGGAAATGGGCTGTTCCACCCCTGGGGCCTGAGGCAGTCACACACCCAGGAAATAGCGTGAGGTCAGGAGTTCGAGGAGAGGTTGGGCACCACCCACGAGAGCATGACACCTGTCCCCACGGCATTCCTGAGTCCTTGGACACCAGCTTGTCTTGTGTGTCCACATCTTTGGACTTGGGGAAGCTGGCGCTTCCTACCTGCACCATCCTTGGTCTTCATAGCCACCAGTTCTGTCTCACACCCGGCAGACACACAAGCTATGGGTGCCAGGGGTGGGCAGAGAGAGAGTAGCCAACTCCAGATATCCCAGGCCTCGAGGGGGTGGGGGAGGGGAGAGTCTTGTACCATTAGCTTAAACCAAACCAAATCTGGAAGGTGAATCTGTGCCCAGATGAACCCTAAGAGACAGCCCCCAAGCACACAAAGGGTATTGCAGCTTCTCTTCCACCAGGCAGCACCCTATCCCACAAGTGCCGATGGTGAAGAGGCCCAGAATCTTCCCAGGGATACGGGTTAGGAAGTGGGCTCCCCTCCTGGCCTGGGGCTTCAGGCCCAGCCCCCACCTGGAAACTTCCACACACTGGGCAGCTTAAAACCCAGACTTTGGTCCTCTCACATCCTGGAGGTCTGGAAGTCCCAAGTCAAGGTGCCTGCAGGGCACTGTGTCCCTGGTCTTCCCTCTTGTGGTCAGGGACCTTGTGCTCCTGGACTTTGAAGAAGCATCACTCCAATCTCTGCCGCCATCTGCCATGGCCATCTTCCTGTGTCTGTCTGTGTGTTCTTTTCTTACAAGGACCCCAGGACTGAAGGCCACCCTACCCAAGCAAGACCCCATCTCATTGCTAAGTGAAGCCACATTCTGAGGATGGGTGGGGATGAATGAGTGTTGAGGGTCAGCACCCAACCCAATACAACCCCCAGGGATAGGTGGTCTCTGACGTCCTCTGTCTCCTCTACCTCAGGGGGGCGGGCTGCTCCTGGGGGCTCAATGTTGAGAAGCAGGGCTATCGGGCCCAGTTGACAGTGACTTTGTCCCCCAAGTTGGGCCTCATCCTCCTAAAACAATACAAAATCAGAAACCTACGGCAACTTCTATGTCTTTCTGTTCACAAAAACAGTATGTGTTGAACGGAGCACATTTAGAAACTATGAAAGCATCAGAAGAAAACATAATGACCATCCACAGCCTCTCTCCCAGAATACAGTTCTCTATTGTAGGAATATCTCATTGTGTGAATATCCTGGGGCAACTGGAAGGGGCTTGTAAACAACAGCTAAAGGCTGGTAGTCCGAAATTGGGGTATCAGCAGAGCTGGGCTCCCTCTGGTGGCTCTAGGGGCGGGGCCTTCTCTGTTTCCTGCTTCATCCTCACAATTATCACTACGTTTGAGCCCATGGCTGCAGCCACTGTGTCCATCTGTCTCACTCGGTCCTTCCTCTTTTTCGCTGACCCTCCACTTGACCAAGCATCGTGATGCCCTTCTCCTGGGATGGGTCCCTCCGGGCACTGGACCATTGTCTGTTGCAACCAGCAAAGCATAAGGGGCGGGGGTCTTGAATGGTGCCCAGCACCCACCACACTTACCATGTCAGGGTTTGGGGTTTGCCTGCCCCCTCCCACCCAGGGACACCCCTCCCAGGGGGCCATCCCTGAGTGAGCACAGTGAAGGCCAAGACAGAAGGCCACTGGGGGGCTGTAATCGCTTCACACTGAGAGCAGGGGAGTGGGCATGGGGTGAGGAGAGCCTTTTGGAGGCAGAAGCAGCTGACCCCCTCCTCAGACTTCTTCCAGTGGGATCCTGGACAGTGTTTGTCTGTCTGTCTGAACAGCAATGAAACCGATGCTGCATCCCTTCCCAAGCACCCCGCCCTCCCCAGGGCTCTGCTGAGTGTCCCCACCCCAGTGATCAGCTGCTGCTGGCCTGGAGATGGTATTGTCCACCCTCACCCTTCACCTGCCCAGCCTCTCTCTTCAACTCCATGTTACAATCCTGCTTGGCTCTTCCACCCCCTTCCATCCCCCACTGCTGGGCAACCTCCTCCCAACAGCTCCAGCCCTGGACAAGGAAAGTCTTCCTAATTAAGAATCTGTTTAGCTCCTGATCCTAGCCACAAGGAATGAGTCAGGGTGGGGCTTACCCGCCTGTTCTGTGGTCTGTTCCCTAAGCCCACCCACTTTACACGGGGCTGAAGTGGGGCTGGCTGGATTTGACTAGCTGCTCGTGACGGGCAGTTCCGGCCACAACATCGCTTGGTGTCTGGTCATGAGGGCCAGTTCTGCCCAGCCTGGTGGCACACAGGAGGTTAGACTACATTCAGCATCAAGTGCTGCAGAAGAAAGTCTTGGCCATCTAATTCTGTAAGATTACCGTCACTGGGAAAGCCTATGGAGTCCAGTTCTACAAGCAGCAAATTCACACAGAACCCTTTCCCGCCCCTGACACAGGCAACACCATTGGCTGCCCTGGGCCCCTAGCAAAGCTGGCAGCCAGCCAGAGCACCCCCAGGTGTGGACCATGCAGACTCAGGACTAGACAAGGTCTGATTGAGACCCTTTCTTCTCAGTGGGAGGTGTAAGATGGCACAGGTCCTTCTTTGACTCTGCAGGGGAGGCCCTGGAGGGCCCTGGACCACTGACCAACAAGGTATGCATGCACAGGGCAGGCCTCTGTGTCTGCAAGTTTCCAACCAGCACCGCTTGGTGAGTGAGTGCTGTCCAGCGCCACCCTGGTGAGCGTGTGTGTCATGCCAGGGCCCCTGGCTCACACAGCCCAGCCACACGATGTCATTGCTTCAGGAACGCCACGCATGGAAGAATGTCCATGAGTCCTCATGACAGAGGTTGGGAAGAGCTCAACGTGACCCCAGGCAGCAGCGTCAACGCATGTTGTATGCATCACACATGAACTCAGACGGAGAAGAATGCAGAATTTGGGGCCCCGCCCATGACGCATCTGAAGTCGTGTGAGTCTGCACTGGCCTGGGGACCGCACCTGGGGCTGAGGCTGTGATGCAGTCTCTACCTGATCTACAGCCATCCTCCAACAGCTGGTCCGCTTCAGTAGGGGTCCTGGGTGACAGCAATGCCGTGCGCGAGGGCGGTAATGAACGGAAGCTTCTTTTCCCACAGTTTAGGGGCCTAGAAGTCTGAATTTGGGGTGCTGGTTCCAGAGGAAGACTCTCTGTGTCGGCTCTGGAGGAAGGCGCTTGTCTCTTCTGAGCTTTTGCTCTTAGGTATCTTCACGTGGCTTGGCATCTCTCTCGCTCCAGCTCTGCTCCTCACGCTTGCTTATTTAATCTCTCTTGGTGTGGCGCTGCAGGATAAGCACTGGACTGCTAGGTCTGTTTGAACTGCAAGGTCGATGGTTCAAACTCACCAGCCGCTCCTGGGAAACCCTAAACAGGGTCGCTATGACTCAGAACCGACTCCATG